GTTTGGAGGGGTAAACATGCATGACGAAAAATGCATTCTACTCTTTTTTTAAGTATAGTCTATGGACTCTATTTAATTAACTTCATACATATTGAGTTCAATTTTTTTTTTTACGTATGTGATATTGAAATAATAAAAACTAGTACAACGCCCGTGTATTACACGGTTGTTTGCTAATTTTTTTTCTTATAATCTAAAATTATTGAAAACAGGTAGATGAAAATTTAAATATATTTTAAAAATATTTATATTATTATATTTAGTATGACACTTTTTATTTGTGCGACTTACTTGTGTTATATTATAATAATTTTATAATTTACAACATATAACTACATTAAACATAAATATATCAATTGAGAAATAATTTTATTTTTCTAATGAATTTTAGTAAATATTATTATTTTTTATTATTATAAAGATAAATATAATTTATTTATTTAATATATACAATATGGATGTCAAATCGAAGATCATCGAAAGATAATTAAATTAATATATTATATATGTAAAATCGATAAGTAATACAAAAGTTATCAACATTTAAAATACATTTACAATTCAATAGATAATTGTAGGAAACAAATCAAAAGTCGGGGATATATTAGTCACTTAGTGACTCACTATCTAAAATTCCAAAGAATTAAAGGGTTATATTAGTACAATTGATATTTAAATACCTAAGTTAGCTAAATAATATTTATGGAATGCGCAAACAAAGATTATTAATTATTAGTATATAATATTATTTGTCCAAACCTAACTACGAAGTATAATTGTTCGCTAAGTAAGATTCCGAAACACCAGAAGCAGCCACGTAGGCTCAACGCATTATGGAATAATATATAGGGAGAATAGTGGTATTTTATTAATTATGGACTCTATTTAATTAAGACTAAGACATGAATGAACTTTTTTTTTTCCGAAACGATAAAGATATTATATATAATCGAATTGTACAAAAGAGCAGCCACAGGCTGAATACAAACAGCTAACAGCTGAATATGAACAGCCAACAGCTGAATAAAGTGGGAGGACAGTCAAAGACCGCCTAGAACCGACCCCAACGGGGTAATACTCACAACACACAAAACACTAACACACTAACACACATAACTACCAAACTGAAAAAGACCCCAACAGGGTAATATCCAATGGCCCAAACCAAAAACACAAGTTCTAAAACAACACAACACAAACAACACTAGACAAAAAATAAATACTAACAATAAATAAAAAAAAATAAATAGACATGAATGAACTATGAGTGCATTTCTTCAAATATTTGTTTGCTATTCATACATGTATCAAACTCTCATTTTTCAATATGGGTAACAATGTAAAGGTAACAAAATTATCTAGAATATATATTAATACATATACTCATAAAAATTATTGTTAAGTCATTGTGATAAATATTATTTATTAATCTCAGCTTTCATAACACAAAATTGTGGAATAATATAACGTAAAAATAATCTTATCATTTTGAACGTCTCAAACAACTAAAAATCATACAAAAATAACCCAAAATTTCAATTGTTAAATCTTTTTTATTATATCTTATCAAGTTGAACATATAAATCATAGTTTGCCTTTATCAATTTATCATTATAAATGTCTCAATCACTTATATTTGTCTATAAAACAATCCTTCTCTCCTATTTTCCAATTTACTATCACAATATAGTGATATGAGATGAACAGAAGGAAGAAGAAAATATATATATCAAAAAATGACAAAATCGTAGAGTATTATCAAACATATCACTATAGGCTCATTCGAATCATGTGCCTCTTCCAAAGGACGTATGAATATTCATCATACAAGAACGTCCACGAATATTCATCATACAAGAAAAAAAGTAGATTAAAAAAAAATCTGGGCCATTTTCTTTTATTAATATTTTGTGGCAAATTTTTCCAACTAAGTTATTTTTATACTACATAAAATTTTTTATACTATCTAAAATTTCTTATAGGACTCGACCAGAGAAGATAAGGTTTCAGTCTATTGAAGGTTGCTAAAAATAGGGAAATGGTACGTGCCACTTCTAATGCAAACGAAACTTAATGGACTTTTTAGATGATGAGCCTAGAACCACTTCTCAATAAGCCACTACGTTGAAGGGAAAGGTAAAGGTCGACAAGCATGATGATAAAATGAAGGATAATTCCGATACATGTTATAACTATTATATCATTTTCTTATAATAGAGTATTATTTAGATTGAATTTTTAGTAAGTAGTTTGATTGAATAATGTTGGCATATAACTATTATATCATTTTCTTATAATATTGTGTAAAAAGAATATTTTCACAAACTAATGATTTTATTTGAATGTTCTTTCATACTGAATTTTAAACTTAATTTGTATAAGTATAATCAATAGAAAATCACTCGTGCAATAAAATGAAATATTATTTACGGATACAAAAAAATGAAATAATTGGATTAATGAAACCATTATATCCAAATTTTAAGATAAAAAAAAAAAGTAACCAGTTGCAAAAATGAAACTAAATAAACAAATGATTAATTAATACAATTATCAGTCGAAATTGTTATACCCATTTTATTTATTTCCCCTTTGTTTCTCTACTTTTAAAATAAAAAAAAAAAATCAATATTATTTTCCAGCCTCGAAAATCCAAATATTCAAGATTCTTGATTTTAACGGTTCCTTTTTCCCTTCTCTGTGTGTACAAGCCCATATTTAAACGGATTATATGGAGGAAATTGCATGCCATACGGTCATGCTTAAACAATTTAACACTTTTGTACCATTTTTATTTTTTATTTTAATATCAGCTAAACCACCTAAAAACTTTTCAATTATACCTAAAACCTGTTTATCCGTTATTAATTGTAATGATATAATTAATTCCAATTAATTATCCACTTACCAAAAAAAGTGGAACTAAAAAATAAAGATAGTTATCCCACAAACCCACGTATCCCTTCACCCTCTCCAACCTCCCAGCAGTTTTCGCCGATTTCAAAATTCAATGGCGAAAACAAAAATCCCTCCTCCTCAATGAAAAAATCCGGCGGATGGTGGCGACGTTTCACTAGCTATTAGATCTAGTGCCCGACTCCGTAAAATCCTACCAAAAAATCAACCGAAACTCGTTCAAAAAAATTTGATTTTCGATAAAAACTCTAACCCTAAGCCCATTCGTCGCAGGGTTTCCGACAAGTCAAAAATGAGAAAACCCACTTCGTCTCCCGGCTCAGACGACTTCCAGTCAGACACCAACAAACCTAAAAAAAATCGGCAAACACGTAAAGCGGAGAAGCCACGCCGAGTTTCAAGCGAAGAAGACACTGAGTTCGAGTGTGTAAGCCAACCCGAAGAAAGCGACAGTGAAGAAGATCTAGAAGAGGAAGACTCTCCTGTTG